GGGGCACGGAGTGAAGCTACATAACAAAATTTAAAAGCTGTGCAAGATTTGCCGAATGCACAGTAGTAGTAGTAGTAGTAGTAGTAGTAGTAGTAGCAGGAGTAGTAGTAGTAGTAGCAGTTGTAGTAGTAGCAGTTGTAGTTGTCGTCGGATTTGACAATGTTGATGCAAGCCTCTGTCGGTCGGTCGGGTCATACGCCAGCCGGCACCTGGACAAGCAAGGCTCGGCGCACAGAACCACGCCAAACAACGGGGTCATATACAAGCCTGGCTACTTCACGCTGACCGTCCAAAACTTCAACAGCCTTCTTTCCATTTTCACTGAGCACGTCTCGGTCTCCCAACTTTTGTGATAAATCTGTCTGTTGCAGGCTGCATTGTTCCAGGGATGAGGGCAGTTTGGTGCATCACATGGTCCCGTGGGCATCGCAGGACTGTTCCAAAAGAAGAAGTTGGCGTTGCAATAGCACATCGGTGCCTGCAGGATAGTGGGCGCGGCGAAGGATTTCAGCATGGGATACCTGAGAGATGAATGCAGGTGGGATACGAAGAATTTGGCTCAGACAGCGGTCTTGAAAACCGTTCAATCGTCGGTGTTCGGCTGCGGAAAGACACGGACAACTCAGACTGTACCACAATTTGGACTCGATGGGAGATCTGAAGATGTCGAGTTTGCGGTCGCGAGACAGCGAGGAATGTTTCCAAATCCTCTGCAACGCCAAGAAACAGCTTTTGCCATACCGATACGACGACCAAGCGTAGACCGTCGTGAGTAAGAACCGATCCGAAATAATCCATGTATACAGGCTTTGGCTTCAATTCGCTCACCCGTACGAGTCCGAATAGAAGAGCGGCAATTAACCTGAAGGAATTGAACTTTGTCTCAGTGGAGCTCCATCCCATACAGTGTGCCAGCATCCCCCACTCGTGAAAGGAGTTCGCGTAGGTGAAGGTCAGAAGAGGCAAGCAGCAAAGTGTCGTCTGCATATATTATGCCAGCCACATCACCCCGATGGTACGCATCCAGAACAGCCTCGTGTATGAGGACAGTCATCATCATGATGAACGATAGCGGGCTCAGTGTACAGAGGTCAGAGCCGTTTTTGCACAGAAAACCCCTGGATCTTCAACATACAAGGTACGGCAATGCGTCATGCAACCATTTCATGCAAGTCTCGCCTCACCGATAAGGGCCTGAATCACTTGTTGATGCTCTCCCGCAACGCGCATCACGCTGAAAGACCTAACCAGCGTTAGCCAACAGAAACAACCTGTCATCCTGTGACTGCGATTGAGCTCTCGAGCAGTGGTCTGCTTTTGACGGCTCTTGGCAGGGGAACGCAGCGTCCACTCCAATGGCACCAATTGAATGTAAGTTTGCCGATGCCTCATCTGTCCCACCATGTTTTTGTATGCTTCGTGCACGGGCGCATCACATCAGGACGTCGCATTGCCCCCGGTGATTGTTTCGAAACAACGAGAAGATGTTGGAAGTGTTAGCGCGCTAGCGCATGGCTCTGCAACCGCGTTGAATATCCTGGATAAGTTTTGCAGGTGCTTATAGTTTAATGTGTTTTGCAGTGGCCCGCAAATGCGGAAACAAAAGCAATGAGTGACGAGGACCTGCAGAGCACAGTGTCGACACTTCCATCATACACCTCAAAACCACAGAGAAAACACTCGCCGCTTTTTGCCCTAGAGATGTCATCAATGTGCGCTGCTCCGTGAGACATGCGCAGACCACGTCTGGCAAGGCATTGCAGTGAATTGTTTCAGACATGAATTATTGCTCAGCATCACTGTCCAGCTCTGTTTCTTCCTCACTGTCAAGAGCCGTGGGAGGCATCTCGGGATTTTCGGGAGATTTCGAGGGACTGAAGTAGTCTCCAGCTCGCTGAGGGCTCGGAAGGCTGGCTGGAGGGCTGTCAGAGATCAGAACAAGCTGAGGGTCACGACCGTCACGGTTGTCTGGAAAGGTGGCTGTGGTGGCAGCGCTGTCCTTCTTTGCACTATCTTGCAGTTGGAATGGGGAACCTTGCATATGCTGCTGTCCCTTTCGAACAGTTGAATGTTGATGTCCAGAGCCTCCTCCATGGCCACTGCCCAAAGTATTCAGACCAAACCGCCGTGAAATCTTCGTCATGAGCGAAAACTGCCGTTCTTGAAGTCTCCTTCCCGCAGCGACAGATTCCGTGATCCAAGATGGCTGGACCACATATTGGGCTACAGCATGGGCTGAGCTGGCGTCCCGCAAGGCCTTCCTCTCTTTTGCACCACTGAGCTGGGTGCAAACTACATGCGTGACGCTTCGCTTCGCCAGCCTTGGAGTAACCGTCGCACCGTGTAAACGAGCCACCTTGCTGAGGGCGTATGCAGATATGCCACCTGGTGCTGTAAGGGTGCACAGGGTCAACACACACACACACACATTCATACATTGTGTTTCCGCTAAGGTCGCGAATATGAGAGGCACGTATGCAACTTGCTTTTCAAGCATACCTGCCAGCCTCCAATATCAACGCGACCATCGAAGTAAATGCAGCAATGCTTGAAAATTTGAGAGCAGGAAGTGTGTTCTGCTTCTGGACTTTCCCGAGCAATTCGTGAAGAGAGGGTGCCAAACAAGACGTCGTCAACGGTTTGGGATTCCAGCTTGCGTTGGCGCTCGTCCCAATAACCTCTGGACACTTTAGTTTAGCAATTGCACATGTGAGGCATGTGACCGACAACAGCTTCCAACACACGTCGAGGTTGAAGTCAACAACTGAGTGCATGCAGGCAGCCAGACCAAGTGACTTTCTCTCCGTGATCAGACACCGTGACGCCGTGCTGAATGCTGCAGCTTCGCTTCGACTGCTTCGACCGCATGTCTGTATCTTCCTGCCCGGTCCGCTTGTTGCCAAGCATGCTGCCTGTTGGGGCCGTTGGCGTCTCCGGGAACTGCAGTCAGTGTTACACCGAGGAAAACAGAGCACGCACACTCAACGGGCGCATGGCAATAAAATGCTAACCAGGAAGCACTGCGTGCGCAGAAGATGAACCAAATCTACACTATTCTACGACTCTACACTATGTCTTTTGCAAACGGCCCAGATTCTTGGTCAGCTTGGCCTCGGGTTATCGTCCGAGATGTTGACCTGAAAACCACACGGCGACATGCTGCAGTGCAGTGCTGTTTTCGCTAACAGATCTTCCGGCGCAGGTCAAGGGGCATGTGCCGTTGCTTCGGCGATGGTATCTCGCTGCTGCATTGGAACAGGGGTTTAGAGGCCGTCCGGGAGTGTTGGCTGCAAAACAATTCCTGAAGGCGGCCTACTCGGATGTCGTGACCACCTTTATTAACAAGGCCAGCGAACGACAAGCTCATGGAACAATGAAGCCTCCGCAAGTTGTTCTCTTCAAGTCTTACGGTCATGGATAAGCTAACAGATTAGACAGATAACGAGCTGTGCTACTGCTAAAGTCTGAGCCACAAGGTATGAGGACATCATGCAGCGGTGCGACGCTGTGATGTAACCACACTCGTTCGGTATACGATGGTGTTGCTCGGGCTCCACTTCCGCATTTTACTTTCCGCTGCCCTCTGCAACTGTTATGTCCAGTCATGAGAGGCCACCAGCTTCCATCTACCTTTCCAGAACTGCAGATTCAACAGCACAGCAGCCATTGAGGCGGTTGCACTAAATGACCGGCCTACTTCTTGCAATCTCTGCGACTTCTCCAAACTGAACAGATGCAGTGCTTCAGTACATATGCCTCGACTATACTTTCAGCAGCCGGTCCTAAACACATCGGGAAGGATGGTTTCAGCAAGCTCGCTTTGCGAGGCAGCCAAAGGAAGTTGAAAAACCTGCTCTTCGAAGTACAGTGGGTAGCGGGCACCCAGCAACAAGTCCAAAGCCTTCTGTCTGAAAAGGGCAGGACGGAGGTCACAAGACAGCAAATGTCATCTCAACGGTGCTGCGATCTTCGTAACAGTTTCTGTAGCTGTTCCAAGAGACCTTTGGCCTGTTGGTACGACTTTGCACACTACCGGGGGAAAGCACGGTATCTGACAGTACTATTACCTCTTGGAGGCCAAGCGTCATCACTGCAACGTGTCCGAGGATTCACTGTTTTTCGGGCTCGCACTGGCGCCAGTGTTCACGAAATAATGCCGCTGCGTGATGTGCTGCGCAAAGCGCTTCAGAAAAAAATGCCCAGCAACAGAGCCAGCCACCATAAGCAATATCAAAGGAATTATGCCAGCGAAACAGCCCGTGACCGGCCACGATGCCACACCAGCAGCAACCCCCAAGACAAGAAAACATCCTCCGCATATGCAAAGAATATACTTTGATGAGGTATCCTTAGATCGGGCCGATGAACCAACGGCTCCCTAACGACGTTCACATCAGGCAGGCAAGGCTCTTGATGCCACAAGAGGAGCTGCATGGGTCAGACATGGGCAGCTGGTGACGATGGAAAGTTGCAGCTGAGCATCCATCAGGTAAGTCAGGAGGTCGTCCACTATTACAAAATCACGCTCCAAGCCGGCGCGATACGCTATCTCAACCTGTTTCTGTCAGCAAAACAAGACTTCAACACAAACACACAAATGAGCATGACTTGGAACTTAGAACTGATCCAAAGCCCTGGCCTCGCCCCCAACCTTGACCTTGCTCCAGAAAGCCGGCTGAGAGGCGCAATGCGCCCGTACGGGGACCTGCTGCTGCTCTAAATCCTCCGCGACGAACTCAACGATCACTGAAAAGGCATGGCCACCTCAAACAATGGAAATCAAACAACAGAATGACAAGGCTTTTGAGTTTTACAATGGTTTGTTCCGGTGTCGTTCACACGCAAGAGATGCCCGGCGCAGCCTCTTGGTTGACTTGTTCGGTCTGCAAGAGTCTGCATGCGGCTCAGCCGTCTTTATTCACTACTTCGACGAAAACATGCAGCGCTAACCAAATCACCAGGTGACAGGTTAGCCTCAACAATCGACGCCCAACCAGGCCTAAACAACCCTCGTGGAGGCATGTGGAGTGACTCTGCAGCACTCGAGCCTTTTTGGATCCGGTGGGGCGAGGTTTGGAGCACCCCAGGATGTGTTGCCGACAGAGGACGACCCTGAACCCTGATCTTGTGCACCGACATGCCAAGCCTCTGGGAACCCTGGAATTGTGGCACTCTTGTTTCACAACATGGGAGGTCATGCAGTACTCGTGGTTTGAGTGATATGGCCTGGCGCTTGACAAGGACAGGCTCGTCAACACTCGGCTAACTGATGCTAGCTGCAATACCCATTGACCCACTCCTCCCGCAAATCTCTCCGAAATGTCACCCATTCAGCTCGATGCCTCTCTTGTCGACATTTTTCTTGTCCTTGATGACACCACGCACTCTGCGCATCTCTGTGTTGCGATCGTCGAGGAACTCCTCGGCTGCAGCTTAGCACAACGCGACAGGGATGTCTACCAGCAGCTTCATAACAGGAAGGCCCTGAAATGAAGCCACTCATGGGTGGCAGCCAAGCTCACTCCGCTTTTCTCATGGACAAATGACGCTTACAAAGGTATGTGCCACACTTCTTCTTCGCCTGCCTTACTGCTCGGGTTGGCCGATTTCGAGACGATCCAGGCTCCTGTCCCATTGACTCCAAGGGTCTGCTGCCCAAAGCTCTTGCGAGCGAATGCTCAAACAAATGCACGGCATCCCTGCTGCAAACCTCGGAACTACACGTGCAGCTTCAAGAGGCGTTCTTTGACGGTCTTGCAGTCTAGCCAACCTTTCGCAGCTGACCTCCAGAAAAAGCATCTGAAGCTCGAATCTTTACGACAAAGTCGCAAGCCACCAATGAGACCCATTGTGAGGGATACCAACACGTTGATGCCATCACTGCACCCGGCAGTGACGTCCAAACCGCCATCCTGGATTCGACCGCGAAGCGATCGTTCCCCGTCCAGATCTGCGCTCACAGGTCTCTCGACTCTGAGACGCTGGCACTCAAACAAGTTGTGTTGGGACACGATACCTGGGCTGCACCCTGTCTTTAACTGGCCGAGCCTTTCAACCACGACTTTGTGCAGCTTAGCCACGCAGCTCGTCTCGAAGTTGCCAGGGTAGATATCCAAACAGCCAGGCTCCAAATTGCACTCGGCCTGCGTGCAGGATGCACCTCGGGTAGGGCCCACGAAAACCCACTCAGATCGGGAGATCTGCATAAGTGCCACGCAGCAAGCCCGAGCCCCCAGCAGTCGTCTGGAAAGCAGGCTGCCGACACCAGTGCCGGAAACGCGAAGAACGAAAGTCCAAGCAAGTGCCGACATTTGGTGTTCGCCGCGGCCTCAAGTGTGCAAGCAAATCTACGAGCTTATAGCAGTCGCAAACGAGACGCATTCAGAGGCTGCAGCCATGACAGAACTGACCATCAGCGCGCGAGACTGCCCTGCAGGGAATGGAATGTCTAGGCTGTGCATCAACATCGTGACGTGTGATGTTTATCAGATTGCACCAGACGGACAAATCCAATCTACAGAAGCTTAGGCAGGCACGTTTGCCATCTCGCACCGGCTGCGTGCTGGAGCAAAACGGCTGCACCGAACACATGCGTCATCAAGCTTTCCTGCCTGCCTTCCTGCATGCCTGCATCGTCTACACTCCAGACCATAGCCATAGACTTCAGAGTGCCCGAAATTCCGTTGGTGGACCAGCGAGGGGCGCATTGCTAATATGGCTCCGTTTCCCGAAGAAGCTGACCTACGTAGCCGGCAAGCAGCCTGAAGGTAGTGAATTTACAAATCCGGGTCTCGCACAAGATCTGGACGCTGCTCCACTTGCAAGATATGCCCATTCCATCCCATTCGCGCAGTTCCTCTCGCGGAATTTGTTGCCTGCGATCCTCCTCCTCCTCTTCCGTCCCAACAGAGAAGAAGCTAGACAAGTCCTGGGTTCTTTTTCGGTTTTCAGGCACCTTGAAACCGCTTCCAACTCTGTTTGGCTCGCTGCTGTGGTTCAAGGATGCGAACGGTGCTCTACCCTTCTTTAGGCGATTGTTCTTGCATCAAACTCTGCCACATCCTTCAGAGCGGTTTGTTCCGACTCCCAATCGGTCTTTGCAGATTGCTGTTAGGAGACAGTACTAAATTTAAGGCCGGCCATGAGCAAAGCATTTTCTTGAGGCAGTCGTCTCACTCGAAAGCTCGCCTGGGCTTCTTGCAGGGCTGACCCAAAAAACTGGCCACGTGTTCATGGTGGCCGTGTCTTCGCATAATTTTCGTCAGGAAGCTGGGCTGTGACCACAGGGAAGTTTCTACAATCTCCAGAACACTCAAATCGGCCTCAAGGGCATGCAGCACGACTGTTTCGTCAAGTCGGAGTTCTTTGGCTGCAAATTGCAAGGCGCAAGCGCGGCTGCGCACTGCCAGTAGCACGAAATCTCGATTTGCCCTGAATGCCGGAGCCGCAAAACGCAGGGCGCAACCGTCTTTGCTTATTGCAGCAATTACAAGCTGTGCGTCAGCCCTCAGTTCTTCAGATGCGAAGGCCAAGGCGTTGGCGTACTGGCGGACTGCTTTCATGACAACCTCGCGGTCTCCCCTCAATTCCTTGGAAGCGAACTGCAAGCTGTAGCCATGTTTCTGGACTGCAGCCATGACAACCTCGCGATCTTCACGAAGCGACGGGACTGACAGCTGCAGCGCTGAACTATGGGATTTCACTGCCTCCAGCACAAACTCTTTACGGGCCCAGAGTTCTTCCGCAGGGTAATTGAGCCTGCAGAGGCGATGTTGCAAAAGGGTCAGCACAAAGGCCTCTGAATGGCGGAGTGCCGTGTGGGCGAAACGGAGCGCAGAGCTGCTTTCTTGGCATGCGGCCAGGACGATCTCTTGGTCGCGCTGCAAATCTTCGGCCAGGCGCTCCAGAACTCTACCATTTACGGAGACAGCAAACAGGAGAAAGTCCCGGTCTGCTTTCAGACAATCCGCAACGAAGTCCATGCTGAATGCATCTTGCTCAAGTGCAGCCAGCGCGACCTCCTTGTCTTGTCGCAGCTCTGGCGCTGCAAACTCCAGGGCCAAGCCGTCCCGGCCCACAGCGGCAAGCACCACTGATTTACTCTTGCGCAAAGCTGGGGAAGCATATTGCAAGGCAAAGCCGTCCTGCTTCACGGCAGACATGCAAACTTCGGGATCGTCCTGGAATGCAGTGCAATATTTCAAGGCCATGCCATTCCGGTCTGCTAAATTTAGGGCAAACTCGCGGCACTGTTGCAGTGTCTTGTCAGCCAGGCTGAGACAGGAAGCATCTCGAACCACAGCTGTCAACACGACTTCGCGGTCCGAACGGAACTTTGCCGGTGCTTCTCGCAGAACTCTTTTGGGATGATGTGAATCTTGCAAATCCTCCAGTAGTTGGACTTGCTCAGCTGGGCGACGAATGAGGGTCACGCTCATCATCTCGTCCGATGGGCATAGAGAGGCCAGGGGCAGATCTTCTGGTAGTTCTTTCGTGCCACAGATCAGGCGTTGTTCACGGAGACGGATGCCTCTGTTTTGACTTGCAGGCTTTTTGTTTTTGTTGAAAAAACCGCCGTTCCAAGGGTGAGTCTGCTTTTTTCGTGCATGTGTGATCCCAAACAATGTGGCAGCAAACGATTTTTCGAGGGTGCTCCGCTCACTCGCGAGAGGCCGACTGTGTCATTGTGCACGTGTCACAAGGTGCGACGAAAATGTGCTTCCTGCGGGCTCGAAACCCCTTCTCGGGCTTTAAGGAATTTGGCGAAGCAACAATCGGAAGTGCGTGCGCTCCCGTCACAGTGCCGTGCGTATTTCGGAGCGTGCATCCTCCTTGTGCGTGTGTGTGTGTACACCCTGATTCTAAGCGAAGGGAATTGGTCAGGACCTGTTGATTGCAGAATTTTACAAGCAGGGGGATGGAGCAGGCCTGTGGAGCTCCATCTAACAAAGCTCTCCGCAGTGTCCTGAGGACATCACCAGGGACGCCTGGTGACGTACCTGCATTCGCAATGGCAGCCGGGCCAACCCAAAAACCTGGCAAGTCGATACCGTTTGTGTTATCAAACGTGTTGGCATCAGGTTGAACTGTTAGGCAATCTCATCATCTTCAAGATCTTCATCGGAAAACGGTCAGATTAAAGCGACTCAATGTCGACTGAATATCTCCGTGCGCGGCCTTGTCGTCACCGGCAACACTCGCTCCCGAACTGCCAGGGCACGTTGTGCGGC